TAAAAATGAGTTTGGGGGAGCACACAAAGGAGTTGGGCCCAAGACAGCCTGGTTTTCTATTCCGAACTACTGTGCATGGGCAATAGGTGTTTAAGAAAAATGGACGAGATCAGGAACAGCCATTGATATAGAGCTGGACTGTCTGTTCTTTGCAGTAGTGTGTGCAGAAGAGAGCTGTGAGATGTGTGTGTGTGGGGGGGTGGGCATGTTTGTTTTAACCGTTGACCTCATGCCAAAAAACAACCTACATAAAATGCTTTCTTCAGTTTTCTGTTTGAGTAGTCATTTCTTATTTTAAGGTAGAGGAGGACTATGGAAAGATAGTTTCTGTCACTCCTCTCCTTCAGTTCCCATACTCAGAGAGAACTACCTAGAACTTTACAGTTTATTCTGTATTTATGTCAATGTCTCTTCCTCCCTCCCTCTGTGGTTGAGCCTAGGGCTTCAGCAAACTGGGTGTGGGCTTTGCCACTGAGCTGCACCCCTGAGCTACTGAGCTGCTGCTTGTCATTGTCTGTAGTTATCCGGCAAAGGAAGGAATGCACTTAAAGCTCACTCTGCTCCCACGACTTCCACCCAAGACGGGACATCAGGACCTAGTCAAATCTGCAGCGTTCAGAGCATAAATAGTGGTTTCTGTGTTCTAGGGTCAACTGTTTTAGTGGCATTGCTTGTCCATGTCCCCAGCCCACCACCCACCCCGTTCTCACTAAGCTTTACTGCCGAGTATCATTGGGTTTCCCCAGGGCTGCTTAGACACACAGCGAGTCATAGGTTCCAGCCTCCCCTGCATTGGTTTCTGTCCTCCAGTGTTACTTTTGATAATATGACTGGAATTCTGATGAGAGCTATTGCATGTAGACCAGCTTTTTTGTCTTTCTTCCCCTTTCGGAAGCCTTTGGAACCTTCCTCTCATCCTCTTCACCTTCCTCCTTTTAATCTATTTTTGTGCTGCCAGATTTTACAAAGACCCTTCACTTTGTCTGTCTTCTCTTACGGTTTGATTGAAGCCATGACTGTGGCAGTTCGTCCTCTGGTTCTGTGAAGTACCCTTTGTACTGATTTCTTGGACCATTTGTGCCCTGCCCCCATTTCTACTTTTCTTTCTTTTTACTTTATAGGAGATTGCTTTGATCTGTTATAAACCTTTAATAGGATTTTAAACTTTTCTAAACCTATCTGTAATTTTTAAGAATTCCTTTTGTTTTCTTTCCTTTATTTTTCTTGTTGTTGTTGTTATCATTATTATTTGGTTTTTCTTGAGGTTGTGTCTCTCTACATAGTTCTGGCTGTCCTTGAATTCACTATGTAAACTAGGCTGGCCTCAAACTCACAGAGATCCACTTGCCACTGCCTCCTGAGTGCCAAAATTAAGGCTTTACACTAGTAAACCCCCCTTGTTTGTTTTTCTTAACCATGTATCTGAAATAAGAATCCCTTTCATGTCAAATGAAAAAAAAAACTTGTTATATTTTAATAACATCTATTTATTGATTAGCTAACACACGCTGAGTTATAAATCTAAGGGTATGACAAAGATCTGCTGAAATCCATAACAGTTGTGCTAATCAAGTATTTTTAGTGGAGATGGAAAAACTTTTTTTTTACTTTTTAAAAAAAATTCTCTTAACTTTTATTGATTCTTTGTAGATTTCATATTATGCATTCCGATTCCACCCATCTCCCAGTCCTCTCTCATCCACCCTCTGCCCTTGCAAACTCACCCCAAAACAAACAAAACAAAACTTAAAAGGAAAACCAAAGACCAAACGTAGCAGACAAAACAAAAATAAACAAACAAAAAACAAAAAAAGAGAAGAATCTCATTGTGGAAGCTGTAGTATAGCCCATTGAGTCACAGTTTACCCTTTAGTCCATTTGTCTTTACTGATCTGGCTCCAGGCCTCTGCTTTCTGCCACACCACTGATAATAGGCTCTCACTGGGACTCCTTTTGGATATCCTGTTGTCCTGTGTCATGGAGATCCTGCTGGTTTGGATCTGTAGGTTCATCTCCTTCACATGCTCCAACAGTTCACAGACGTGGTGGATGTTGGGGTGGGCCAACTCATAACCCTGGTTATGGGTCTGGGTGGTAGCTGGGTTGGTCAGCTGCCTAGCTTTCTCTCACTATCACTACTCAAGCAAGCTCTCCAGCACTGCCTCAGCTAGCTCACCCAGTGCAGCCTGCAGCAAGGGCAGGACCAGCTCTGCTCTAGGGCTCTAGGGTCTGGTTCATCTACACTCACATCACCAGGGCCAGCTCTGAAGTTTTACCCACATGAGGTGCAGGGCGCTCGCTCCCAATTGCTGTAGGGGTCAAAAGGGATGTGTTGGTGTGTGTGTGTGTGTGTGTGTGTGTGTGTGTGTGTGTGT